CCCATACCCACCCCCCTCAGAACCCTTCTCTTCAACAATCCCAAAATCTTGAGCTCAAAGGGTATCTATTCCTTATCATTGATTACAAAACTAGTGAAAAAATGACAGGTTCTAGTGCATCCACTGGTGCGGCGGCGCCACCCACTGCTCAGTCATCATCCGCCGCTGTAAACGGTGGAGGGAGGAGTCAGATCTCTCATCCGATCAAAAGATACTTACCCTTTGCTTCTATGAGGCCACCGTTTGTTACACCTGAGGATTACCACCGATTTTCTATCCCTGGTGTTGATTCTCGAATTGGGTCTGCTAGTTTGCAGCCTGAAGCTATTGTGGTTAAGTCTCCTGTGAGTTTGTTGGATTCTTGTTTGAGTTAATAGTGTTGTTTTTTTGGGGATTGCTGTTTGATTCTGTTTAGTGGGTTTTTGTGTTTTGAAATATGGAACTTTAGATTAGAGGTGGGATTAAGTAGTGGAAACTTGAATTAGATGTATTGAAGAAAGATATGTTGTGGGGTGTGATTAAATGTAGCTAAAATGATGTAATTTTGGGTTGAATTGTTGCTGTTTTTGTGCATTTTGCGGTAACTAGCATTCTTGTTTGAGCTAATAGTGTAGTTGTTGAGGATTGCTGTTTGATTCTATTAGTGGGTTTTGCGTGTTGAAATATGGGAACTTTAGATTAGAGGTGGGATTAAGTAGTGGAGATGTGAATTAGATATTTTGAAGAAAGATATCTTGTGGGGTTTGATTAAATGTAGCTAAAAAGGTGTAATTTTGAGTTCAATTGTTGCTGTTTTTGTGCATTTTGCGGTTACTAGCATTCTTGTTTGAACTAAGATTGTCGTTTGTGGAATGTTTTTAATTGGAATTGATGTTGGACTCTAGTAGTGTGTCTTGCCTTTTGAAATGGAACTTAGGATTATAACTGGGATTGAGTAGTAGAGACATGAATTAGATATTTTGAAGAAAGATATCTTATGGGGTTTGATTATATGTCGTTAAAAAGGTATACTTTCGAGTTAAATTGTTGCTGTTTTGTGCATTTTGTGGTAACTTGCGATTTTGTTGATCTGCAATATTTGTATTTCATTGTGTGAATAACTTGAGGCTAATTATTGTGGTTGGAACCTGGTATTGGGTTGGTTAAGTTAACGGATTTGCTTGAATAGCCATGGTATTTGGTATATAGCTAATTGCTTTGTTGGGTTAAGCTGTTAAGCTGCCTCCAGTTTTTCATTTTTGATTTCCCCGGAGGTCATTTGACTCTTGTTAGCTGAAACATCCAGACACTGCTGGCTAAATTTGGTAAAAAGGAGTAAATGAGTCGAGTGAGTTGGTTGTGATTTATACTGTTCTGTCATTCGTGTTTGCACATGTGACAACCAATTTGGTTACGTGGTTGAACATGTAATGTAGCTTTGTTGATCTGATAAACCTCATGAAACCTGAATGCAACTTTCTTTTTGTATGGATATGATTGGTGTCATTCATGTCTTGAGTCCTATTGATAACTAGAGAAGATTGAGTGGGAGGATTTTTATTGTTTGTTCATCTTCAGAATTAACTCCTTTGTTTAAGTAACAATTGGGTCTTGCTTGTGTTCTCTAATTAGTTAGCACTAGCTACATTAAACTGAAGCTCTGTTAGTTATGTCTTCCTTCTACATGTTTATTATTTTAGGTGTAAGGTTTAGTGGTTATATCTTGGAACCAGCCTCCATAAGGAGTCACCTTCCCTGAGCCTTCCCAGAGAGAACCTTCTTACACAGCTGTCCACCCTTGTTGTTTTTAGTTTGATAACACTCTTATGTGCCCAAGTCAAGAATTTTTTAATTCTAGTACTCTAATTTATCCCAGGGAAAATTCAGAGTTTAGTCGTAATTGTTCATCAGTTTGCTATGTTTTACTTGTTAATCACTTATTTCTACTTTGCACACTTAATGCCCCTGTAGGCACTAAAGCGGAAGACAGGCTATATTAAAGAAGTTGAGTCCAGTGACTGGACTGCTAATTCTGGGTATGCAGATGTGGCCAATAGTCCACTTGGAACGCCTGTGTCTGGTAAAGGTGGAAGAGCACATGGACGGTCAAGAGCCACAAAAAATAATAAATCTGGACCTCAAACTCCTGTCTATAATGCTGGTGAGGTTTGGTGTCTAATTTTTTTTTTGTCTTGGTTGTAACTGGACACAAGCAAACGTTCAAATTTTATTTCCCTCTGCATCTATCTAAAGGAGGTTGTTCATAGAAAACTGTCTGTATTGTCATGGTTGCATTGGTTGATATTGTCTTAATAACTTGTGGCTTGCAATTTTGCAGGTTCTCCTTCTCCTCTTACACCTGCAAGCTGCCGCTACGACAGTTCATTGGGTATTCCATGATTTTTTTCCCAGGAATTGGTTTGTTGTAAAAGTTTTTATTGAAA